ACTGCCTGTAACTTTTGAACAACTTGGGCTCGTGAGCAATGATCAGGTCCATGCATTATTTTAATGGCTGTCGGTAATAAGGACAACGGTAGTACAAAATGTCCTCGAGAACTACGCCACAACCCAGCGTGGGGGTGTGTTAACCGAGCCGCCCCCCTTTGTACCCATAGGCGTTTCTCTGCTTCAGATATGTTATTTTGGGCTTCTATTAAGGAGGCCAAATTAGTAATGGGTTCGCACTCAGCTACGTGGACCATTGGTCCCTGCACTGCTGAACCTGTTGTTTTCTTTAGCTGCCTCATCTGCTAAGTTATTACCAATGGCAATAGGTGTTTTTGCTGTTTGATGAGCTGCACATTTTACAATAGCTAACGCAGATGGAAGTTGCATAGCTTTTATTAACTCTACTACTGCTTGCCCATGTGTCACTGGGGTGCCATCTGTTCTAACAAACCCTCGTTGTTTCCAGATGCTAGCGTTTATATGGCACACCCCATATCCATATGCACTGTCAGTATAGATTGTCACTCTTTTACCAGTAGCCAATTTACATGCAGCTGTTAATGCTTTTATCTCTGCCAACTGGGCAGAGCAAGGTTGATCTAGACTCAATGATTGTACCTTGGTAAAGGTCCCATCGGGGTTAAGTTGGACTATTCCATATCCAGCTCTATTCCCTGTTTCACCTCTGATGCATGATCCGTCTACGAACAGCGTCAGATCAGATGGGATTGGATTATTGTATAAGTCCTCCCTTACCTTCATGAAGGTGTAAGTCTCCTGGAGACAATCATGGGGCTCACCTTCAGTGGGCAATACCATTCTTGTGGCTGGATTAATGGTGGTACAACGTTGTATTGTTAAATCAGGTCCTGAAAGTAGAACTTCATAACCTGTTCGACGAGCTTGGGTTATCACAAAGCGTGGACTGGTGAGTAGTGCATGCAGTTGATGCGATGTGTACAGAATAACAGGCTGGCCCATAGTAATAACTGAGGCCTTTTGTAGGCGAAGGCTGCTGCTGCCAAACCCTGGTAGCAGGGAGGCAGACCTTCCTCGACACCGTCTAATTTTGTGCTGTAATAAGAAATTGGCTGTTTACCTGTGGGGGTGTCTTGCATCAATACTGCACATGCATACCCTTGTCGCTCAGCCACATAGAGATGGAATGGTTTGCCATAATCTGGATTGGCCAGAGCAGGAGCAGTTTGGAGATCTTGTTTCAGCAGCTGGAACGCACCCTCTGCCTCATCTGTCCATTGTAATTGAGCTGACTGATGTCCTTGACCTGCGGCTTTGATCAGTGCTCTCAGTGGAGCCGTTTTGATGGCATAATCACACACCCACGGTCTGCTGTAACCTGCCATGCCAAGGAAAGACAACATGTGACCAACAGTCTGAGGTTTGGGCATTTGGGTTATGGCTTCTAGACTTTTGTCCCCACTGAGTTGCCTACCGAGATACTCCACTGTTTGCTGGCAGAATTGCAATTTTTGTTTACTCACTTTGTGTCCTCCTTCTGCAAAAGCAGTCAACACTGTAATGGAGTCTCTCTCACACTGCTCTTTAGAAGCAGAACAAATCAGAATATCATCAACATACATCAACATTGTAGATGGTATGTCAAGGTGATTTAAATCATTCGCCAGTACACGATTGAAAATTGATGGTGAGTGTGCAAAACCCTGTGGTAATCGCGAATAAGTATATTGTTGGCCTTTGTACGTAAATGCAAACAAATACTGGGAATCTGGATGGACCGGTACACTGAAAAATGCTGAACACAGATCAATCACAGTAAACCATTTGGTACCTGGGGGTATATTACTCAGTAGTGTGTGTGGGTCGGGTACTACTGGTATCTCTTCTGCTACAATAGCATTAATCAATCTTAGATCATGGACTAATCTATAGTCATTACTGTTGGATTTTCTAATGGGAAAAATTGGGGTGTTACAGGGGCTTACTGTTGGTTTAAGAACTCCTGCTGTTTCTAATCCTGTAATGATAGGCTGTATTCCTTCTACTGCCTCTCGTTTAAGTGGGTACTGTCTTTGGAAGGGCAACTTAGCATTTGGTTTAATGGTGAATTTGATGGGGTCTGCTGATTTTACTAATCCTACATCTGTCTTACTTTTAGACCATACCTGCTCTGGGACTTGTTCTAATAGGGATTCATGTTCTGCAGCCACTGCCATTTGTCTTTTCCCAGGAACTTTAATGTGTTCTGCAATTACTTCATCAGCTTGTGAATATGAAATCTTAAAAAACAGTCCATCTTTTGACATGCTAATGCAGTCCCATGCTGTAGCAATCCATTCAGTGACTTGCTTGGCTTCTTGAACCATGGGTCCTAGGTCATGTGATTCATACTCGTCTGCAATCAGTAATGTGACATATGGTGCTGAGTTGGTAACCTGGAACCATTCTGCTACATCTTTATCAGGAAATGTGACAACAGCTGCAGCTCCTTGTGGTCCAACCACTATGTCAGCGTATTGGATGACAGTTGTTTTGTTGTTTATGTCTTCATCCCAGCTTTTCTCGTAGTCTTCATGTGTTTTGTCTTTGTCATAAAACATGGTACAATGGAGAGGAAGAAAAGGTTCTTTAGATTTCTCGTAGTGATTCATTATCAGGGGTCTCCATGTTTCCCACTCCAGTTGGAGGAAGGAGGTTGGTGATGTGAGTTTCAGCCAAAATACTTGGTCTTCTGGCTCATGACTTGTTATCTGGGGGGTCATTTGCAGGCCCATTGGCATCATGTAGGCTTCATTCTTGTCTGTTGCTTCAAAAGAAATTCCATTAGGGGTACATTAAATTTTTGCATTGAGCTGGCACAGCACATCTCTACCCAGCAGAATTATGGGCGTATTTTCTGAGTAAAGTAGTGGTGCATACACAGTCTTTTCCCCTATGATCATGGGAACTGGCTCAGTCATGGGTATTATTTGGGTCTTCCCAGAGAAACCTACTGTTCGAATCTTTGATGCTGAGAGAGGCAGGCCAATTCCACTTTTTCCTATACAGGAGTAGGCCGCTCCTGTATCAATAATGAAGCGATGATGGCTATCATATATTGTGACATCAATGGTGGGTTCTGTTTGTGGACGTTGGGTTAATACAGGTAGAATGGCCTCTCCATCAGGTTTCTCTGGGCACCCCTATAGCCAGTACGTGTCTTGTCCCGTTCCATAGGTGGCTGGTCCAGCAGTAGGGGGCTGAGGTCCCATCCATGGGTTAGTGGGGCAGTCTCTTTGCATGTGTCCAACTTGTCCACATCCCCAGCATTGCATTCTCACATGCTGTTGTCCCATGTCTGGACCTGCCTGTGGCATCTGCTGGTATTGGCCTTGAGGGGGCCTTCTTGGGGCTCCTTGTGGTCCCCTCCATCTTCCCCGCATGGGTGGCCCCCCTCGTCCCCTTCCGAACGTTGCTTGTTGGGGACCTCCTCCTTGGTTCAGATGCACATGAATAGGAGGGACTGGTTGAGGTTGGGTCTGCTGTGGCAAGGCTCCTCCCACAGGTGGCGCTGCTGGATACTGCATCTGCTGTGTGGGCGGAGGAATAACAGGAGACACTACTGGTGCTTGTACAACTGTCTCCCCTGTGGGTGCTCCCTCAGTTGGGGGTGTGGCAGCCACAGTCAGTGCAGCTTGATGCTTGGGCTTCTCTTTCTCTTTCTTTGCCTTGGACAGTTCCCCAATCTGCAGCTGGGTTAACTTGGTGGCCAGCATCTTGCTTTGGTCCTCAAAGGCCCGTTTCTCGGCCCGATGCATGTTTACATAGTGTATAACATGCTCAGAGAACAGAGGCCAGTCCATCTTCATGAGCCCCACGACTCCGTCCAGTTTGGCTTGCACTTCTTTGGGCATGGCCTCTCTGATGTATGTTCTGAATAGAGGGCCAGATGTTTTCAGTTCATTCCCATCACTTCCAGTCTCTGTTTTCCATCTCTGTTGGAACCTGTGCAGAAAATGGGCGGGGCTTTCATCATCCTTTAGGCATTCCTGTCTCAGCTTAGTTGGATCACTGCAGGTGGGGTATTTGTTCCTTAAGGCTGCCCACACCTTGGGTCTTATTTGGTTGAATGGTATCTTGTCATACTGGTGTGAGGTCATGACCCTTGGAAGCTGGGCTTCGTCAAACACTTCTCTGGCTGCTGAGTGTCCTGCTGTCTTGATTAGCAGCGCCTTGATATCTCCAGCTGCCAGATTGATGCCTCCAGTGATTTCTTCCAGCTTTTCTATCCATCTGTCAGCGCCATCTGCCAATGGGGTCAGCCTTCCAGCCAGTGTTATCATGTCCATAAATGACCATGGCACGTATCTGTCTTCATGAGGTCCTTTAGACAGCAAGGGAGCCATATAGACCCCTCCTTGACCTTTCTTCTGCTCTCGCGTTTTAGCCCTGGTCATCATTGGGCCGCTTTTTACTATTTGTAGCCCCACATCACACTCAGCTGTGAGTGGCTTCCGTTCTTTTGCTGCTAGCCTGCTTTCCTCCTTGAACCCCTCATGGAATGGGTTTGTAGTCGGCTGTATGTCTGAGCCTTCAATGTCCTCCCATTCAGACACATCACCTCCTTCCTCCTCATATTCCGTGACTTCTCCCCCTCTCCTTCCTGCCTCTCCGATCAGGGACAAAGTCCGTGGGCTTGGCAGGTCTGGGCAATTAGTTTTCGCCTCTAATATAAGCTGCTCCGCTTCCATTCTCTTCAATTTTTCCAAATCTTCATCTCGTCTTTTCTTCTCCTTTTGTTTTTCAATTGTCTCTTTCAAATTCTTTAGTTGTCTCTTTTGTGCTTTCTCTTCCAACTCTTTCTCCCTGTTGACGTGTTGTACAAATGTTTCCGTCAGTTCTGCCAAGTCCTTTTCTATCTTTTCTGCCAGTGATTCGGTTTCATCCAAACATAACTCGGTCCTGGGATCTGAGTGGCTTTTATATGTTGACTTGGTCCTGGGCTCTGAGCGGCATTTGGGGCCTTTTGGATATGGTGAATGTCTGCGACGTACTGGGGGAAGGGAACGGCTAAGGGTAGATTTTCTCCTTACTTCTGGGGTTTTATCCCATCCGTCATAGTCTCCGCTGTAATCATACTCTCCCTGCTGTGTGTTACATTTCTTTTTCTGTTTCTTCCTCTTCTTCTTCTAAAACTAATTTAAGTTGTCCTGTAATCTTTCCCTTGCTACCTGACTCTATCACAACTGGGTACTGACCTGCTGCGCTAGGGTGATAAGGTGGTGGCTTATGGTCAGTGTAATCAGGGGCTGTTGGGCTCTTTTGGTGTTCTACTTTAAAATATTGCAGAATGTCTCTCTGTTCAGCATGTCTCTGTTTTTTATGCAAAAGCATTCGGTCTCGCTTCTTCTCTTTATTTCTCAATCTTTCTTCAACTTCATCACAGCATGAAGGATCAAAGCTGCCTCCTTTAGGCCAACGATTTTTCCCAGATGTCATCTTATGCTATTCGGTCATGCATTTTTGAATTTTGCGTTTATTGGATGGGTGTGTCATTATTACCAATTTGGCTGGCGTCAGCCCGTCAGACTGTTTGCTCATATTGGTTCCCATGGCTACCAGCAGTCACTCAACCGTCAGGTCCTGTGCTTATTCACCAGCCTTTGTAATCCTTAGTTAATTTTTATCTTAACTGGTTCAGCTCTCTTCAATACAGATCGTGTTTACTTTTCTTTTAGTCTCTTTTTCTAGTTAATTTACTTTCCAATTGTAGATCTCTTCAATTTTTGAGATAAAATCTTTAATAACACAATTTTGTAATGTTATTTTGCACTTTCACTACTTTTTATACCTTATATATTTTATCTTATGTAGACTATAGTTTGTAATAATATATGCTTATAATATCTTTATCTTATAATGCTTACAACTTTTTCCAATCTTATTTAGGAACTTTGTTAATTTATTTTCATTCTCATAACTCTGTGTTTTTCAGTTACCAATTCTGTTTTCCAATCCTTATTATTTTTCAGGTTATTCTTTTTAACTATATTCTGTAATAATTACTTCTATTAATTTATTATTATATCTTTAAGCTTTATCAATATTATAATTTTTTATTAATATCATCCACCCCTTACTTCCCCTTAGTTACTTAACTCTTTCACTCGACAGACACACTGACAAAGACACACAAGACATTATTATATATTGTATATGATTATTATATATGATTATATATTTACAGTGCACTTTTCCTCACTGCTCCCTACAGTGGCATATACGTTTTTCCCTGCTGCCCCGGATGCACCCAGATAACTGGAAATGCATAGACGTCCTCCGGATGGTCGAGCGGTACTATTCTCCGATTATCGCTTAATCGGTAATATTCGGTAATATTCTGGCTATCCCTTAGCCTGGCTATCGCTTAGCCTCTCAATACCTTTATTCCAATACCTAATACTACTTAAGCCGTCTCGTGGAGCATGCTGACTACCTTAGTCACGATACCCTCACGTAACACGCGTACACTATTGGTTCCGGATTTATGGCTTCCACAGACTATGTCAAATGCTTTGACCAATCTGTCCCTTTACCAATCATCCCCTCAGAACATCACGTGCTAAGCTTAACTTATTTACAAAATAATTTAAACACAGAACAGTTCAAATACAGAATAACACAAACATTAATTAACACTTAAACCATGCATTCACATACATTCATACGTACCTGGACCCTTCCTCAGCTTAGTCTGCCTGTTGTATATTCTTATATAAATTCTTATCAAACTTGGAAATTACTTTATTAAATTTGGAAAACTAGGTTCTTTTAGAAGGCTTTGTGACGCCTGACTCCCACAAGCAGCAGCCGGAGGCTGGTTCCCCGCTAATTTAGAAAATTATAACGAATTGACTCACCTTCAATGGTGAATTATGGGCGCTTGGGGTTCCACGCCTTCCAGCTGGTGCCTGCAGATCGTCCGACGTCCCCTTTTTGCTTTTCTCCTGGCTGGCTCGCCAATTTGTCGTCTTTTATCTCTTCTTAACGACTTAAAATTGAAGCTAGGTTTTATAAAAATTAAAAGTTCTTAAAAAGCAGAAAAAGTCTCAAACAAAGATCCAAAAATCAGGCAGAGGCAGCCGAGTCCACGTCCAGGGTGTTTTTTGCAAAACACAACACATCCACACGGAGCTGGTCACCGGTGAGCATCAGCTGAACAAATGGTGAAAACAGCCTTCTTTTATACATTTCATTGGGCTTGGGGGCTCCTCCCCCAAGCCCCTCCTTTGTTTACATCATTCCAGGTGTTTTTCTTCGGGTAAAACCAATTATTTTTATCTTATCAGTGGAAAACCCCCTTCAAAGCATATTTTTTATATATTTAATCAAAAGCCTTTGTTACAGGTCACGGTGACATTTCTCATAGATCATAATGACATCTGGTGCACTTAAATCAAAACATATCACAGTTTTAATCAATAATATGTCAAAACAAAGTCTTTCATCCAGTGTGATCTAAGCTCATATCTTTACTTCAAACAAGGTCAGCATGACATATCCCAGCAAAACATTACTTTTTCTGTGACTAGTACTGCACTGTGTGCTTTTGAAGATGACAACTCCATTTATCACAATTAGTTCTCAGCTAAACTGTGCAGCTCCTGAGAACCCCATTCCCCAAACAGGCCTCACTCATTTCTGCTCCTTGTGGCATCAAAGACCTTCCATAGCCCTGTACTCAGCATTGTCTGCTGATCCTCCGCACTTGGCTCCATTCTCAAAACAACACCTGCAGTGTGCTCAGAGCTTACACATGCTGCTTCTCTATCTCTCCATGCTGGACTCTCAGGTCATCTTAACTTTTCTAACATAAATGCATTTTAAAAACATCCATTCAATATGTGAAATATATTTTAATCATAATCATGAGTGCAGATTAATTTTCTTCATCACTGACGCCTCCACTCCCTCTCCGGCGGGTCAGCCTGACGCCTCCACTCCCTCTCCGGCGGGTCAGCCTGACGCCTCCACTCCCTCTCCGGAGGGTCAGCCTGACGCCTCCACTCCCTCTACGGAGGGTCAGCCTGACGCCTCCACTCCCTCTCCGGCGGGTCAGCCTGACGCCTCCACTCCTTCTCCGGAGGGTCAGCCTGACGCCTCCACTCCTTCTCCGGAGGGTCAGCCTGACGCCTCCACTCCCTCTCCGGAGGGTCAGCCTGACGCCTCCACTCCTTCTCCGGAGGGTCAGCCTGACGCCTCCACTCCCTCTCCGGAGGGTCAGCCTGACGCCTCCACTCCTTCCCCGGCGGGTCAGCCTGACGCCTCCACTCCCTCTCCGGAGGGTCAGCCTGACGCCTCCACTCCCTCTCCGGCGGGTCAGCCTGACGCCTCCACTCTCTCTCCGGCGGGTCAGCCTGACGCCTCCACTCCCTCTCCGGAGGGTCAGCCTGACGCCTCCACTCCCTCTCCGGAGGGTCAGTTTGACTCCTGTTTCAGTCCCACTCATAACCTGCTCAGTTTCCCCTATGGCTTCAGTCGTCACCTCCATGACCAACAGCTAGCTTCTCGGATTGGTAGGTTTAGTACAGCTTCCATTTTTACACCCCTCACAGTCAGAGCTCCATATATTGAGGAGTCGCACTTATGGAACTTCTTTTACGGGGAGAGGGAGGATTTATGCCTTTTCCTTCCACCTCCATCATCTCCCTACCAGCCTGTACTGCCAGAGCCAGGGCCCTTTAGCGGGCCAGAACCCAAGCCAGGGCCCATTAGCGGGCCAGCTAGCGTAGTGCCGGAACCCACTAGCGGGCCAGCTAGCGTAACTCCGGAACCCACTACCGTGCCAGCTAGTGGAGCTCCAGAACCCATTAGCGGGCTTAAACCAGAGCCCATTAGCCGTCTAGCGACCCCTGAGCCCGCTCTGTGTCGTCCAAGAGCCCTCGGCGGGCGCTCCAAGCCTCCAAGAGCCCTCAGCAGGTGCTCCAAGCCTCCAAGAGCCCTCAGCGGGAGCTCCAAGCCTCCAAGAGCCCTCAGCGGGAGCTCCTCGCCCCTTCAGTGGTTGTTCCTGAGCTGCAGCCGGCGGCTCCCTCAGAGGTTGTTCCTGAGCTGCAGTCGGCGGCCCCCTCGGAGTCAGCTGCTGCAGCGTCAGAGACGGCGGCCCCCTTGGAGTCGGCGTCAGAGCTCCTGGCTCCTCTATGGTTTTCCCCTGATGTCTCCATGGTTCTGGTTTGTGTTTTATCTTTATGTTGGATTTTTGGATACCTGTTTTTGTTCAGCATTTTTAAGTTGGATTTTTTGGATTCCTGTTTTTGCTGCCTGATATTTCATTAAATACTTAAAGAACTCACCCCTGCCTGCCAGCCTCTGCGTTTGGGTACTCACAAAAACCTCCAAACAGTTCGTGACACTTGCTTACTGAATGCCATGTGCCTAACTTGCGTAAACAACGCGACGTAAGTCATGCTGGCCCAGCGCTAGGCTATGGTGCTGCCTGGAATCGTTGAGAGAACCGTTAAGCGAGCTGCCAAATGGTGCCATGGAATTGGAACACACAGAACCAGTTCTGAACAGGAACCAGTTTTCGATTTCCATCCATATCAGCCGCATAATGAGTAGTCTTCTAATCCGAACAGGCCTCACTGTGCTATGACATCATCGGCCGACAAATCTGGCCTTTGGAGGACACAGCTGCTAAATTCAAATGATTTCAAGATTATCAGGTGATTTTCAAAGCTTCAGAAACACCCCACATAATAAAAAAAATGGGTATTGAAGATTTTTGGTCATATGATCTGTTGTCTAGTAACACAACCGGTGCATCATCACACACAAGCCATTTTCAACCAGAACATTCAGAGGTAAGACAGGAAATCCCACAAAGCCTCTAGATATACATAGATTTCTATATATGATGTCATGCTTGTACTCTGTTTGCTACTAAAGGGTCTGTGTCAAGGTTCCTCGATGAATGGAAAATAAAACTACTATTTCACAGGTACGGGCACTGGTAAAAAAAATAAGCAGACAGACAGCAGAAAACGGTAATGATATTATTGTTCATTTTTTATTAGCATTAAATTTTAATCTTAATCTTAATACATGTGATTTGGGAAATGTTAAAATACTGTTCAAGATAACGTATGGGTTAAAACTAAGAGATTCAGTGTTTTAAACATTGAAAAAAAAGGGAAGTTGACTGTTAATAACACCTCTTCATTGGCTTAAAGACAGGAAGTTCTTTTTTTAATCTGAAGTTGTCAATCAAGAAAGAGTGGCACACATGTTCAGTCTAAGAAGTCTGCAGAGGGAAGAGGACAAGTTAGTGGTGTGTACAAATGATTTTTATTTCTAATTCTTTCTCATTTATACTTAAAGAACATCAGAGGAGATGCTACAATGATCTGGACTTCAAAGTTAAACTGTTAAGCCATTTAAATTTCTCCTATCTCTTTTTGAACTGATTTTAAAATCTTTTCTTTTATAAATTTGGACATTTATAATTTTAAAATTAATAAGCACACATTTATGAGTCTTCAAACTTAGGATGATTGATAATTTCTTATAATTTTATATATTTTAGGTTTATTATTCTGGGTTCTCTGGTCAACAATTTAAAGGAAATTATTTAAAATAAACTATTTCTTTGTCAGATAGTCGTCCTGTGTGAAGCGTCTCCATGATGAGGCGTCCTCAGAACTGTGAAGGAGGTAAGGAAATGAATGTGGAGGTGAATAAGGAGAAGATACAGAGAGCTGAATGATCATCATCATATAAACAAGAACAAGGCTGAACCGAAAAACTTTCTTTAGACACGATTTTAAAATCTGAACTGAGAAGAGTTTTATCTGAAACTGAGGACATATTCAGTCATAAATCAGGGGAATACAAGATGCTCAAATGTTAGAAAACGGAAAAAATTAGATTTGGCTGTTCTTTTTTTTAAGTGGAGTATAGTATAAAGAATAAATAATAGGTAGTGACGTCATTGTCAAGTGTTTAGAATTAGTGCAGAACACAGGAAGTGAAACACAGTCAAACATACACTATGTTTGTTGGTGGATGTTAGTTGTATTTTTAAAGTTAGCTGCATAAAAAAGGTTCTGATCTATAAAAGGCCTCTTTAATAAAAGCTTATGAGTTTTTTACTAAATCCGTATGAGTCTTAAAGCAACATTTAGCAACAGGAGAGAATGTGACTAGGGCATAGTTTAGAGGAAGGTAAATGCCACTATGGAAGCACAGCATCATCGACAACTATAAAGTCATTTCCTGTATTCAAAAGGAAAAATGTCTAAAAATAAGACAAATCATTTGAGACTTTACCATATAAAGCATCTGCTACAAACAGGCTTAAGTAAAGCATCAGCAGAAAAAGAGATGATGATCTATGATAAAAATAGGTTTTAGTGTTGATGTCAGTTTCAGATGTTGGTTGTTTGCTGTGAGTCTGTCTCCAGGTTCTGATCTGGTTCTCCTCTAAATGCTCCTCAGCTAAAGCTGCCTCCTCCCAACATGAAAACCCAACCAGAACCTCCAAGCTGCCATCAGTGAGAGTCGTCCTGCTGGTTCTGGGCTCTCTGCTGGCTGCTGCTCTCATCATCATCTACAGACTGGGTGAGTTTTTAAATGATTTTCTTATTTTTTTTCCCTATTTTTCCCTTTTTTCTTTTGGGTGAATCTTTAATTTGTGTTTCTGAAATGTAAAGTTTATATTTTTAAAGTGTAAACATCAGGTTTCGGTTTTTGTGAAAACTTATAACTTTTTTTTGGCATCAGTTTATGTGGCTTGGCGGACCAGTGAAAAAGTCCAAACCCTGCAAGAAGAGAATGAAGCTCTGAGAGAAAAATTATCAGGTGAGTCGGTCAGAGATTGAAGGATTGATCACGTTATTTTATTTGTTATTTTTTGTATAACTATACACTCACCGGCCACTTTATTAGGTACCCCATGCTAGTAACGGGTTGGACCCCCTTTTGCCTTCAGAACTGCCTCAATTCTTCGTGGCATAGATTCAACAAGGTGCTGGAAGCATTCCTCAGGGAGTTTGGTCCATATTGACATGATGGCATCACACAGTTGCCGCAGATTTGTCGGCTGCACATCCATGATGCGAATCTCCCGTTCCACCACATCCCAAAGATGCTCTATTGGATTGAGATCTGGTGACTGTGGAGGCCATTTGAGTACAGTGAACTCATTGTCAAGTTCAAGAAACCAGTCTGAGATGATTCCAGCTTTATGACATGGCGCATTATCCTGCTGAAAGTAGCCATCAGAAGTTGGGTACATTGTGGTCATAAAGGGATGGACATGGTCAGCAACAATACTCAGGTAGGCTGTGGCGTTGCAACGATGCTCAATTGGTACCAAGGGGCCCAAAGAGTGCCAAGAAAATATTCCCCACACCATGACACCACCACCACCAGCCTGAACCGTTGATACAAGGCAGGATGGATCCATGCTTTCATGTTGTAGACGGCAAATTCTGACCCTACCATCCGAATGTTGCAGCAGAAATCGAGACTCATCAGACCAGGCAACGTTTTTCCAATCTTCTATTGTCCAATTTCGATGAGCTTGTGCAAATCGTAGCCTCAGTTTCCTGTTCTTAGCTGAAAGGAGTGGCACCCGGTGTGGTCTTCTGCTGCTGTAGCCCATCTGCCTCAAAGTTCGACGTACTGTGCGTTCAGAGATGCTCTTCTGCCCACCTTGGTTGTAACGGGTGGTTATTTGAGTAACTGTTGCCCTTCTATCAGCTCCAACCAGTCTGGCCATTCTCCTCTGACCTCTGGCATCAACAAGGCATTTCCGCATACAGAACTGCCGCTCACTTGATGTTTTTTTCTTTTTCGGACCATTCTCTGTAAACCCTAGAGATGGTTGTGCGTGAAAATCCCAGTAGATCAGCAGTTTCTGAAATACTCAGACCAGAGACACTGATGGGCTGACAGACACAGGAATCTAAATTCCTGTGTCGCCTCCTGCTGCCTCCAAATCTCACAAACATCTATTTTTTCCTCTTGACTCAGTGAGGTTTTTTTCTGATGTTTTTATAGGCGAGAAATTTTGGAAATTTGAAGCAGGCTGGGAGCTACATGGAGGAAACTGTTATTATTTCTCGAGCAATACATCCAACTGGAATAAGAGCAGAGATTCCTGCAGAGATCTGGGAGGAGACCTGGTGAAGATCGACAGCAGAGAGGAGCAGGTATGAATCACTGCTGCAGCTTCATGTTCTAACTCAGCTGAGAAAAGTCTAACAAAGTTATCATCATAATCTTCTGCTATTCAGATGTTCCTGTTCATCAGAGTGAGAGACTTGATGAAGAGAGATGAGGATATGTTCTGGATCGGACTGACGGACTCAGAGATAGAAGGCAGATGGTTTTGGGTGGATGGATCATGTCTGAATGAAAGGTTTGTTGCAGTTGAAAGTATGTATTTTATTGGGGACTGTTAAGCCTACTTATCTCTGTTTTTCTGTTATTCATGACTTAGTTTGACTTTTTGGGGGAGTGAACAACCAGACGACCTAAGCTATGGACACGTTAAAGATGCTGACTGTGTGAGGATGGGGTTGCAAAAGAAGGTTGCTGATCTGAGGACCTGGTTTGATATATCTTGTAATCAGACCCAGAAAAGTATCTGTGAGAAAACAGCAAAAGCTGGACAGAGTTCATGTGTTTTAAGTGAAGTTCAGGTTTTCCTATAAAACACACTAAGTCCAGGATCCAGAAGCTCCAGAGCTGCTGGTTATATCAGGATAGATACGTGATAAAACTTGTTCAAGGGACCTGCATCAGCAGCTGGTTCCACAATTAAATATTAATGTTTTTTCGACTTAATACCTGTGAGTTTCTTAGCTCCTTGTCATTTAGTCTGGTTCTCAGCTTCTTCAGTCCCACTGTTTGTTTGTTTTGTTTATTTTGCATAAAACACAATAAACCCAAACCTTAAGATAAAATTAGTCGAGAAGAACCTCTTTATTACCGTATTCATGTCACATATCTTTCTGATAGACTGAAGCCCAATCACAGCTGGCAATAATTTCAACCATCTCTACATCAGGTCCTTGTGGGTCAGGTCTGTGTCTCTTCACGCCCGCTGTTAAACATTCTTGTTTAGGGTTCAGGTTAATTTAATTTATAACTGTAGGTAGATTAGATCTGCAATGGTTCATCACACATACACTACCGTTCAAAAGTTTTGGGGTCACATTGAAATGTCCTTATTTTTGAAGGAAAAGCGCTGTCATTTTCAATGAAGATAACTTTAAACTAGTCGTAACTTTAAAGAAATACACTCTATACATTGCTAATGTGGTAAATGACTATTCTAGCTGCAAATGTCTGGTTTTTGGTGCAATATCTACATAGGTGTATAGAGGCCCATTTCCAGCAACTATCTCTCCAGTGTTCTATTGGTACAATGTGTTTGCTTATTGGCTCAGAAGGCTAACTGATGATTAGAAAACAATGTGCAATAATGTTCACACATCTGAAAACAGTTTAGCTCCTTACAGAAGCTACAAAACTGACCTTCCTTTGAGCAGATTGAGTTTCTGGAGCATCACATTTATGAGGTCAATTAAACGCTCAAAATGGCCAGAAAAAGATAACTTTTATCTGAAACTCAACAGTCTATTGTTCTTACAAATGAAGGCTATTCCATGCGAGAAATTGCTAAGAAATTGAAGATGTCCTACAACAGTGTGTACTACTTCCTTCAGAGGACAGCACAAACAGGCTGCTGTGGGTACTATCTATGAAGATGCCAGTTGGGGACCTGTGAGGCGTCTGTTTCTCAAACTAGAGACTCTAATGTACTTATCTTCTTGCTATGTGGTGCAACGCGGCCTCCCACTTCTTTTTCTACTCTCGTTAGAACCTGTTTGTGCTGTTCGCTGAAGGGAGTAGTACACACAATTGTAGGAAATCTTAAATTTCTGTACATACACAAACATAATGCAAATACCACAATGTTTTTAGTTCCACAAATCCACATCATCCACATCATTGCAGCCCCACCCCTGTAGAGGAAAGTGGAGGACCTCGTCTATTCAGCGAGGCCAACAATCCGATTTAACCACCGACCTTTCAGACTTAAGGCTAATTTATAATTTATTGAACAAAAAGACGTCCCCGCCCCCTCCGCAGACACTCTGCTGCACCTCTTACAAATTGTAGGTCACCGCAGAAAATGCCGAAGACGGGAGGCCAGCTTGATTTGTTTGTATGACTGCAATTGTGGAAAACAACTCAAACTTCAACTGAAATTTGACCAGCTAGAAGAGCGAGGTGCGTGAAAACCCTGGGAACCTTTTTCCACCTCATGTCCCTCCGTTGTCAGACAAACTTGCTCCCACTTCCTCACCACCTCAGCCATATCTATCAGGTAGTTCCTGATTCTCTTGAGCATAAATCAAAAACGTCTCCGTCAAGCTCACTGTGACACACTGCTGCGTGGCGTATAACCAAACCTTTAGATGGGTATGGGGTATTGCAGTCTAACAAAAGAAGCCAAGCAACCCACATTGGAAATGGGTGGACCCCTTCGTCTGTTCTTATTTGCAAGCTTTCAAAACAAAACAAGGCTTTGTTGGGATATACTGCATAAAACCTCGAACTCAGGAATGACTATGACCTGGATGACTGAGAACCAGCATAAATGATGCATTAACTGCTGAATTAAATCAATGCAGGATAATATTTACTGTCATTTTTACAACAATAAATGAATCAGAAAAGCCTGTTATCAGATGAGCAACAAATGACAAAAATAAGCCAGAAGAGTAAGAGGAAACAGTAATAAGGAAGAGCTACAGAGAATCTATAAAGTCCAGGAAGTCAAGAGAGTTCCCTTTTACTGTCAGAGAGTGAAAGTTATAAGAAGGATAAGGTTTGAGATCTGAGTCATTGTATTCTGGACCCAAACAGGTAATGGCACACCTTATTTTTCTGTATACAGAAGATGTTATAGCTCTCTCGTTTTAATTTTAGCTGTAGATTCATAAATTGTAGTCCGGTTTGGTGTTTGGTTTTGCTTGTTGTTATTTTTAGGGCTAAAGGGGCTGCTGTAAGTCTTTCATGGCTGCCCTCAGTGGAGGTTCTAGCAAGTTGTTCTTAAAGTATTTGAGATGCAAATCAGTGGTGTAATTTCATGCAATGGTTACACACAGATGATGCAGTAGGGGGGGACCTATAAGGACTTTCCAGGTCTGCACTTCAGTTTTTTCTGTAGTGAGACATTTCCTGGGAGTTTTCCCTGATTCTTGTCCTGTGTAGTAAAATAGCAAAGTTCCCTCCTTTCAGCAACACTCCTTTTACATGGGTAGAAAAGAACCAATATGATTCACTGTCAGGATGCAGGAAGATTTCATTCACAAACTCAGTAGTTATTATCATAATTTGTTTTTATAACTTCTTGCTTTTTAGGTTCTTATAACATTCTGTGTAACTTTCTCTATGGCTATCTAATTAGGCAAAGCTTGATCTCAGCTATTTGTGTAAGATGGTACTGCCATCTCATTAATGTGCTTTGTAGCACATTTCTCCTACATTGTTTACATTCTGATCATAGCTGCGCTTTATAATGGTAAGGTTTATATAAATCCAACTTCAATATCATTTCACTGCGGTAAGCTTCATGCAATGCAGTTTGGTTTTGTATACAACTGGTGCATAGAAAATGACAAAGTTTGTGTAAGTCTATTTCTTTTTGCTGTCTTCTCTTTTGTTGAACTATTGTTTCTTATGTATGACCTTTGGGATGCTTTTCATGTTTATTTATTTTATATTGCTCTTGCTCTGCAGCATTTTGTTTCAAAATTGGAGCTCTCTACATGAAGTATAAATCATAGTTAAAGTAAAAATGGCTAAGGTGAGTCTAATGAATAACTCAGCCATGCTGAAAATGTTGTTCCATGACTCTGAGACATGGAGAAGATAAAGAAAAACAACATTAATTACCACATAGTGATTTCATATTCCAGCAGGATCAAAGTTGGTCCATTGATTTAAGGTAGCTGTAATTAAACCTTGTCTTAAGAAAATGTCTCTTGACCTAGATGACTTGGTCAATTATAGACCTATATCCAATCTTCCTTTCTAATCTAAAATTCTTGAGAAAGTAGTTGCCAAACAAGTGTGCGATCACTTACACCATTATGAACTTTTTGAAGAGTTTCAGTCTGACAGTAGAGCTCATCATAGCACTGAAACAGCTCTGGTGAAGGTTGCTAATGATATTTTCATGGCTTCAGATAATGGACTTGTAACTGTGCTCGTCCTGTTGGATCTCAGTGCTGCATTTGATCCAGTTGATCATAATATTCTTTTAGAAAGACATTAATATTTTGTTGGAATTAAAGGAACAGCGCTAGACTGCTTTAAATCTTATCTGATTGATTTCAGTTTGTTCACATTAATGACAAATCTTCCTCATTCTCAAAAGTTACCTGTGGAGTACCACAGGGATCAGTGCTAGGACCAATTCTCTCCTATCCTGGCTTCTCTTCATTGGCTTCCTGTTAAATCCAGAACAGATTTTAAAACCCTCCTTCTCACATATAAAGCCTTAAATGGCCAAGCTCCATCTGATATCAGAGATCTGATTGGTCCTTATGTGTCATGATGGATCAAAGGAGCAAGCCCATATGCAGAACACACACAGAGGAGGCAGGGAAAAAGTTCAAATGTTTATTAAAAGTTCTGAACACGAGATCATAAACAAGTTCTGAGACTGGTTCACTGAAGTCTTGACTGGGACCGGAGACTGTTGGTTAGCAGAGTTCATGAGAAGCTAAGCGTCTAGCTTCAGGCTTAGCATGGCAGACCTTGATCTGAGCTTCCAGTTCACTGCAGAGAACAACAGGGAATATCCACATAGGATTCTTCAGGCTGAGCTTCCAGCTCACTGCAGAGAACAACAGGGAATATCCACATAGGATTCTTCAGGCTGAGCTTCCAGCTCACTGCAGAGAACAACAGGGAAAATCCACATAGGATTCTTCAGGGTGATTCCACATAGGAATCTTCAGGTAAACTCCACATAGAAGTCTTCAGGTTAAATCCACATAGGAATCTTCAGGTTGGCTCACCAGGGCAGATTAGCAGGTTAGGCTCACCTAGAGCTTCAGGCTAGAGACAGGTTTCCTGTGAGGCAGCTCATCCAGAGCTTCAGACTAGTGACAGGTTTCCTGTGAGGCACAGACAAAGGAGAGTTTAGAATCTGATCTCACACTAGAGACAACTAAGATAAATCATTAACAGAGGCTCAGGTAGCTAACCAAACTAAGATCAACACTGCGGCGTGGAAGCAAGGCCTGGCAGGAGCTTATAAAGGGGAGGTCTCCTGATGAGTAGATGCATAACAGGTGTGCTGGAAGACTCCAGCCCTAGGAGACCCACGGCGCACTCTGCTGGAGACAGAGGGTAATCTCCAGATCCCAACAGTAACTCCAGTCCTAAAAGACAATAACATAGAACAGAAGAGGATCCTCGGCGCCCTCTGGTGGGCAAGCCTGAGGATCCCAACATTATGTTCCTAACAGAGCACTTCGCTCTTAATCTGCAGGTTTACTAGTGGTTCCTAGAATTTCTAAAACTAAAATGGGAGGCAGATCTTTTAGTTATCAGGCTCCTCTCCTGTGGAACCAACTACCAGTTTCAGTCCGTGAGGCAGACACCCTGTCTACTTTTAAGGCTGGGCTTAAAACTTTCCTTTTTGATAAAGCTTATAGTTAGAATGGCTCAGGTTATCGTGCGCTATCTGTATAGTTATGCTGCTATAGGCTTAGACTGCTGGAGGACATAAACCCCCATTTTATCACTCTGTTTCATTCTATCTCTATTCTCCCACTCTGCAGAATCTGTTAGTTCAATCTCTAACGTTCTGCTCTCTCTGCTTTTTCTCATAGTAGCTTCATCTGTGACTCCATCCTTGAAAGAAGTATCAGCTGTGCTGCTGCCATCAACACCTTTGTTTCTAGATGTTGGAGCTTGGCCTGTTTTTCCAGTGTAGTCCTGTTTCTCTGACTGTGACTAACTGGATGTGCTCTCTTCATCCTCTGACATAGGAGCTGGCTCGGAGCTCGTCTGCCTGGCTTTGTTTTTCCTGGACTGGGCTTTTGCAGCTGCTTTTTGTATCTCTGCTTCTGTCTCCTTGAACCCCAGTGGGCCTCAGCAGATGGCCGCTCACACTGAGCCTGGTTCTGCTGGAGGTTCCTTCCTGTTAAAAGGAAATTTTTCCTCTCTACTCCCCCTACAAGCACGCTTAGTGTGAAGGATTGCATTCGAGTCAATGAGTCGATGCAATCAACTGGTTTTCCTTAGACAGAAACCTCTGAATCAATTTGACTGGATGATCTGGTTGAACTGTAAAGTGTCTTGAGATGACATGTGTTGTGAATTGACGCTATAGAAATAAACTGAATTGAATTTATGCTTTTACTGTTCCTGTTTTAAAAGCAGAGGATCTGTGGATTATAATCTATGGAGCACATAGAGAAACTGTAAAAGGCTACTATCAAAGCAACCATGGCTTCCTTTGCACAGAACCTCTTTAGAACCACAGTCTGATCCGATCCAAGCCAGGCTGTAACAACTCACTGACTGCGTTTAGAAGGGAATGAGGTTATTTTGAATATGTTGGAGCTTGAAAATATTAGCACAGATTTTTTTCTGCAGTAAACACCAGCACTTAATAAACAGTGATCATTCATCAATGTATGAATGTACTAGGATACTGCTTGACATGAAACTAGACAGAATGTATAGTCTTTGCATTGTAATGTGTGTCTTCAGGAAGTTCAACATAGGTGTGAGTCATTTTTAAACTCTGGTCCTGTTTCATACTCACCAGGGGAGCATGGCTGAAGCTGATGTTATTTACACTGATGTAAACTTCAGAGCTCCTCACACTGAGGGTGAGATTAACTCTTTCAGATCTTTTCACTTTTTTAGAGAGCTGCAGCAAACTGTACTTTGAAATGATGTTGTCCTCTGTGTGTGTTTATGCAGATCAGGCTGCTTTACCAGCTGAGTGTATTTATTCTAAACCGGTGATCTTGCAAAAGGGATCAGGTACGTTACACTTTAACAACAACAAAACTATAAGCACTTCATTTTCAACCACCATGGTGCCAAAACTCACACAATTATTTTTATACATCTGCCAAAAGGATCTTTCTACTTTTTTGTAAATAGGCACAATATTTAAATATGCAATCTACTTTTTTTTTTATATTATCTACATATGTCAAATATATTCCACTCTGTTTAAAGTTCAACATTAATGTAAAGCTGATACTGATCAGAGTAGAGACGAGAAAGAGTTCTGCTTCTGAGATAAACATAGACCTGACTTGACAGGATGGGTCTGAGTCATACACTGAGCGAGAAAAGTGACTTAGAGGAAGTAACTTACAAGAAAGACAGTTTATTTTTTATACTACATTTCAGCAAGACGTTTACTTAAAGAGTTGAACATGAACATAACATAAGCACAGAGAAAAGTACTTTGCAGTGGCATCATAAAAATCAGGGGATGTGGGGGGATCAGTGGAAGGACATTAGTGGGCTATTTTCCACTTCTTGAGTTTTAGTGAGGACGTGGGCAGCAGCATTCTGGAGCCATTGCAGGGTTCTGATCAACCTTTTTAGGCAGACCTGTGAAGATGATGCTTCACTAATTCATTCCACTAAAGAGAAACAAATGCATTGTTTTGAGGTGCTGCTGAGATATTAGTCCCTTAATCCTGGAATGGTCAGAGGTCATACAAGGCAGGAGTTGTTGCTGTCTTTTGTACCTTTTATGGTTCTTGTCTAAATTCATTACTACACCCCAGTTTGTGGGGGTTATGTTATTAACTGCAGATATATCCATCCATCCATTATCTGACAGGTGCATATCTCCAGCTGTCAATGGGCAAGAGGCGGGGTACACCCTAGACAGGCGGCCTGTCCATCGCAGGGCAACACAGAGACAAACAGGACATACAACCATTCACGCACAGACTCACACCTAAGGAGAATCTAGAGAAGCCTATTAACCTAACAGTCATGTTTTTGGACTGTGGGAGGAAGCCGGAGTACCCAGAGATGCTCAAGGAGAACTTGCAAACTTTGGGTCTTATTAGGGAGAGCTTCATACATTCACTTATTTTAGATCTCCATGCAGAAAGTTTGAATGTTGGCAAACCAGGAATCAAACCCATAACCTTCTTGCTGCAAGGCATCAGTGCTACCCACTGTATCACTGAGCAGCCCACTGCAGATATAATGCAGCCCAAATGGTATATGTGTCTAGGTAGTGGCTCATCTTTTTCTTCACTTAGGCCTTTATTACTTTGAGGAAGCAAAAACTGGCTTCTTATTTAAGCTGCCAATTCAGAAGCGTCTTTATTTATAGCAGGATGTATGCTGCCAAACTTTGTAGTAAACAGTATTGTCAAATGTCAGTCCCCAGTATCAGATGAGGCCACAATACTGCACTAAAATTATGGTATCGGTATCGGCGAGTACCAACAAATAGGGCACCGATACCATTTTGAGAGCCAAAAGTTTCTTCAATTATTGTCACCCATTCCAGGTAGGCAATAAAAAGTTCTTCACTTTGTTTTAGTCTTTTTCCTGCTTCACAAAGGTAGGCAGCAGCTTGACAAAGCCATGATGGCAATTATTTTACATCCAAGTAGTATGCAGTTATTCAGATATACACACATCAATTTCAAACAGATGGTATCAGTATCGGCCAATACTGCACAACCAGGTATCAGTATCGGGGCCAAAAAATGGCATCGGCGCAACACTAGACGTTACCCTGCTGACCACCTACAGGAAGTGCAGCTAACCTTGCCTTGATCCCAACACCTGAAATCAATAAGGACACTTCTGATGTCCCTAGAAGCTGCTAGTTGCTATACAGTTGCCCATAATGTCCATAAGACGTATAGGAATAGACTACCTCAAAGAGTTCAACAGACATTAATTTATAACATGTACTCAGACTGACATATGCTAATGTCACATTCAGATGTTTTGGGTCTTATAAGGGAGAGCTTCATACATTCACTTAATGTAGTTTTTATTACATGTATATAATCTTTATTTAATCTAATCTTTATTTCTGGAAGGCTGTAGTCTTAATTGGACTAGCATCATTGATCTGCGTTTCCTTCGCGTAATGATGTACGTAAGGCTGAAGGCTATCTGGATTCAGCACAGCAGTCTGAAGCTCCCTTCCTATCATGGAAAGAGTTCTACTCTGGTGAGAATTTAAGAAGGCGAAGGGATAGAAGCTAAGAACTGGTGGTAGGAGCTACAATTTCCGGTTCTCAGATCAGACGCCATGTTGCTTCTATTTAAAACAACTTTTAAAGTTTTACAGCGAGAACATTTTATGATTAAATTTCTCTGCGATGGACTGGCAACCAGGCACCAGCGACCCCAATTGGGACAAGCATGTCAGATAATGGATGGATGGATTCAATTTCTACTGAGGGTTGCTGGAAAGTGTCTGACAAATAAGTTATAGGGAAAAAGACGTCATTAGTCCTAACCTCGTCTTTGATGTAATCTTCCACTCCGTTCAGTTTTGTGGGTCTCCAATGCTTTACGCCATTCTTCCTTGTTCTCAGCCTTCGCCATGTTCCTCTTTATGTCCTTCTCCCTGTGATCACTTCTATCCCGTTTTTAGTTTTTTATACTCCTTTTTTACATGGTTTTACCCAGTTTCAGTTAAGAGTAGTAAATAACCCCTCAGGAAATAACCTCCCAGGAAAAGAACCGGTAGGGAAGTTCCGAGGCGCAGCTGCCTTCAGGGGGACATAACTTCCACATTTAACACCGTCTATCTACGTTGGGCGTAATCGACCTTGTCCCTGTTTGGGCTGCTTGACCCACCTTAATTTTCAAGTCCAGACCAGATTGAGGCCCGGCTGACACGACCGATGTACATGATAATAGCCAATAAATAGCTTTATTATAAGTCATGCAGGAGATTAAAGGGAGTAATGATAAGACGTCTTCAGTCTGCTTCATCACCTGCAAAGAGATGTAAAAATAGCAGCACAACCAACAGATACAGTATAAGAGATACAATAAAGTAACACCTTGATACTGTCGTTGAAGTATAAGTAGTATTATTTATTCTGACATGTATTCTATGTTACCTGAAGATAAGAATATGGGCTTTCTGTATGGAAGTGAATCTCTAAGTACCTGGAACCAAGCACCTATAGTTGTTTCTGACAGTGCACTTGTGCATGTAAAGTTTATCCAAAAGGAGAAGTGCTCAATAGCCAACATTTTCCTCTGCTTCACCGTCTTAATTTATTTCCAAAGTTAAATCTTACTTTATAAAAATCCTCTCGGATCCTGGTCAATATTCAACAATGGGCTGATTGGGTTTAAGTAACTTAACTTTGGTAACAATGGCTGACAAAGCTAAAAGGTAAAATGAACATGGTAAAAAAGAAGGAAGCTGGTTCATTAGCAGACCAATACGTTAAAAAATGACGTTAACAATACAATCTTGAGAAAACTTAACAGCTAAATTTTGGTTTGCTAACTTCTTTTAAATAAAACATAACTGCAGAGGTAATAAATCAACAAATGAACTGTAGAAACACTGAACTGAGACTTAGGCTTTTCTTCATCATCTCTGTATCTTCTGATCACAGACATTCAACAAGACAAACTAATCAAGAGGTCAAACTCCACCTTGAAGCGACTGGTTGTCCTGGTTCCTGTCCTTCTCTGTGCGGTCACTGTCATTGCCCTTGGAATCAGTAAGTTTTAGTTGTTATGTGGAAATCTTGATATGATGTATCTAAGACAGAAGGACTGAAAATACAATCTGGACAATGAAGCCTCATTCAGACAAAAACTGCTGCAAAGACTTGAATCTGAACAAAAGAAAAAACAGAGAAAAGGCAAAGTAATTAAAAAATAATTGCAGGCTGATTGATTTAGAGACTTGAAACAGGAAGTGGATTCTTTTAAAATCATGAGCGGAAACACTTTAGGAAAATACACCAAGAAAAAAATGGAGGAATAAAATTAAAAAGGAGATTTAATCCAATAAAATCAAGGAAATAAATAAACCCTGTTTCAGCCATCTGAAGTATGGAAATCAGCTTAACATTAATTCTACAATTTTTTTGTTGAATCGTTTATTTTACTGTTTTATTTAAGAAAAATTATTTTCTTTGAAACCAACAGTGTCAAAAAAAAAATTCTAATCTTTGCTGGAGAAATTAGTGTTTCTGAGGCTCTCTGGGGTTCATCTTATTTTAGATATTTTTCTGAATCAACATTCATTTAGAGTTTAAATTACAAAGTCTGAAATATTTGTAAAGAAAATTACAAATCTTGGCTGACTTCTGGTCTGTTGTGGTTAAATTATTATGTAATATTCATCACTTTGAATTGAACTAACCTGAGCCTCCTGCTGTGTTTTTCTAATTAGTTGTCATAATTTTAAACACCAACAAAACCCAACAAACTGAGCAAGAGGAGAATGAAGCTCTGAGAAAAAATTCCTCAGGTGAGATGGTCAGACTGTGACGGTGTCCAAAAGCGTCAATCTGACACTGATGGACAACCAATATTTTTCCCTTGTTAAAGGCATACTATGCAACATTTTTCAGTTAATGAATGTGTTCCATAACTTTTTGGATGATTAAATGAGTCATTTCAGGTCGAACAAAGGTTTTCTCGGCCGCCCTGGTGGTCTGTTGGGGAAATACCATACTTGCAATTGCAGGAGCCCTCGGCCCGCACCCACAGGCTCAGAAGTCTTGTGCATCGCGAGAGTCGGTTTTGCTTTACGGGGAGAACTGCTACACTTCCCCAGTAAAAGGCTTGCTCGTTGCTAGTGCAGTGGCGATATTTGTGCAGTTATCATGGCGTAACCAACGAGAAAACAGCGAAAGCCCATGTCGGAAACATGCTAAATTTTCAAACTCGAAAATTGGAACAAAATAGTCACTTAGCGCACTAGACAAGGTGATTCGTTGCGTTCGCCTCTCTGCTAAGCTCAAAACAACCGCGTCTGGCTTGACGGAGAAACCAGGAGAACAGCTGAGCATATTTACGACAGTGCACTTTTACTTTCGCCCTCTGGGAGGAGCCTCGCTGGAAAATCAACACCGGTTGCATAGTATACCTTTAATTTTTATCCCAGCAATTTCTTCTCTTGTATATCTTCAATCTTAAAGGTGTTAGGTTTTAAAATAAGAAGCAAGGCTTAGCCTTATGGTCTTTAAAACAGAAGTTAACATAAAGAAACCTGGATGTCCTCCACATCATAAAGTCAACGTTAATCCAAGGATTTCGTCTCATTTCTGTCACATGAGACATTAAAGAGATGTTAAAGGACCGCCAGATACAGAAGTTAGATTTTAACTGCTGGATACAAGACGCCTTCAAATCACACAAACACACCTCCTTCTACTAAAGCAGCATAGAAAGCGTTCCGACCAGCTGTCTCCCTGTGTGGTGTGGAGGCTGCAGCGCCTCAGACTGGAAGACATTTCATCCCAGCGCTGCATGTCCCGGGCACGTTACATTATAAATGACCCCCCACCATGGACTGTTCTCCCTCCGGGAATAGGCTTCACAGCATTCAATGCAGGACCAGCAGGTTCTGCAAAAGTTTCTTCCCCGCTGCTATGAGAGAGCTGAACTGTTGAAATAAACTCTAAATCATGTCACAGACTCCACATCAAGCTGACCATAACTGTCAGGATTTGGTTGAGGTTTAAGGACCCAAATGCAGAAACAGGAAAAAAGAGGCTGAGGTGATTTCTTGCAGTTTAATTGAAAAACACAGGTAACAGAGGCAGCAATTCCAAAAATCCAACTAAAAATTTTAACAAACCAAAAACCATGGAGACATCAGGGGAAAACGAGCACAAGGAGCCAGGGAGAGGAGAGGAAAGAAGACAACAGCGACGAGGAACCAGCGATGACAAGGAACCAGCAAAGAGTGAAAGCAGAGGGAGAGTATATATGGCTGACGGAACAAAGGCAGGGCTAAAGTGCTGATAAGGAGCAGGTGGGAGTGGAGATAACGAGGAAGCCAAAGGAAAAGGAACATGCACAAGAGGCAACAGAGGACAACAAAGAAAAACCTGAGAACTAAAATATATCTAGAAACACAAAGTAGGAAATAAACCAATGAAACACATGGAGCAAAGTTATACAGAAAGTAAGACCGTGACAATATCAATGCGTTTCTTTTGCACCATATTTTTTTTTTAGTCCACAATGTTTACATTTGATCACTGCTGCACTTTAGGAATGGAAATGTCATGACAGCTGTACAAAACGAAATTTCGTTTTTGTTTACACTCTGTGTATCTTGAGATCTTTGTTCTGATCTGTTTACAGATGAAATATGTTGGAAGTGTGAAGCAGGCTGGGAGCAACATGGAGGAAACTGTTATTATTTCTCCACTAATGAATCCTCCTGGAAGGAGGGCAGACGTTTGTGCAAAGATCTGGGAGGAGACCTGGTGAAGATAGACAGCAGAGATGAGCAGGTATGACACTGCTGCAGGTTCAGGTTCAAGAAAGATTTGATAAATTCATCCTGTTTCTTAATCTTGGTACATTAAAGTCTCAATAAGTGATTTCTAACACCTTTTCTTGTTCAGATGTTCATTAAAGAAAAACTGGTACATATGATGAAGAACGATGAGGACAAGTTCTGGATCGGACTGACAGACTTAGAGGAAGAAGGCAGATGGTTGTGGGTGGATGGATCTCCACTGAACACGAGGTTTGTTTTGGATAAAAAAATAATGCTTGATTAATCTTTAGAAATTTTGGACTAAAAATAATTGCTTTAACGTTGTGATTCTGTTCCTCCTTACTTAGTTTGAGCTTCTGGACTGATGGCCAACCAGACAACTGGAGTAAGAACATCCTGAAACAAGCTGACTGTGTGAGGATGGGACAGATAGGAGGAGCTGATGAATTAAAGTCCTGGTTCGATACGTCCTGTGACCTTCATCAGAAAAGCATCTGTGAGAAAACAGAAAAAACTTGATAGACTCACTGTGTTTGAGTCTGAAGTTCATTTCAGTCTGTAAAACAATCTGAGTTCAGGATTAAGAAGATTTTACAAAAAAAAAGTATAAAATATTGAAACCTTGCTACATAAACTTTAAATGTTAGAAATTGTGAAGCTCTTGGAGCTCTAACTGCATCAACTGTCCTTCTAAATAAGCAGCTAAGTTTTTAACTGTCTCTGTTCACATATATTTATTCAATTCAACTGTTCATGAGATTAAATATATTAGAAACCAAACAGACCCTCTGATGTAAATAAGTTAAAAAACTGTGATGTCCGAACATCATAGTTTATTAGCTTATACAGGGTTTGATGCAGAAACAGACCAAACTGGATTCTATAAATTTGAAATAAACAGGAATGACTATGTCTGTGTACAGATTACAAGCTGGCCACTGTCTGCACTTGTTTTTTTAATTTCTTCTGGGACAGCACCAGTTTGCCCCATTTTACACAAAGGGTTGAAATTCACCAGACTTACTTTATAAAACATATCAGTAAATCAGAAAGCAGGGGTTTTATCAAAACTGAAGAATGAATGGCAGAAAAGGGGGGATAAGAAACAAAGGGAAATAGTTTTTTAGCTTCAAAAAGGCAACTGGAGAAAAGAAACCTTGAGGAAGGAGCAGAAAAGATGACAGGTTAATAACAAAACTACGATTTGAACATAGATTACTTTAAGATTAAGGGAGAAAGCACATGAACAAGTGAAAAGAAAAGTGAACACAGCACAGCTGGAACAACACGGCCAACCAAACAAAAAGCTAATGCTAACAAAAAGCTAAAGCAGTACAGGCTGGAGTCTGCTGCAAAGATCTGCTTTATGTGGGCGTTAGACAGTCACGGCCTGGTATGGGAACAGGAAGGAGCTGGAGAGAGGGTGCGACTTAAGATGAAGGATGCAGATCTATTTATAGATGGGGTGTATAGTTAGTCTGCAACTGGAAAAAACATAAATACAGTTGTCTTCTTTTCTGTGATTTTTTTTCCCAATACTGGTCATTTCTGTGTAACTTTTTTTGAAAGAATAAACATTTTTTAAATGACTCATTTAAAAGCTTAAAATAATTATGTTAACTCATAAATAGGTGAAACTGACAGTTCAGCACCAAGGACAGTGACAGTAAAGCCTGTAGATGATGAGCTGCATTTTTTTTTATTAAAATAAAGCACCAGATCTCATCAAATATCAAATGTTATATGATATTTGGACTGTTATATATTGTTCTGTGAACATGACCAGCTGGCTGTGTCTTAGGAAAATAAATTAAAGCATTAAGGGAGCTTAAATCATTGTGAAACAGATGACTCTGCACATATTTGGAATAAATTTATCCCAACGGCCTTTAGAAAAATACTTTATTAACAAAAATTATTCAATTCCACGTCAAACGTTATTTCAGTTAAAAGCAGAATGCTGAAACAATGACCGGAGTACACTAAGACCAGATGTGCAGAGAAGGGATTAGAAGGAAACTGAGGGGAAAAGTGACACTAGGGACAATGAGACCAACAATGAACTAGAATTAAGATGAAATTAATAAAATAAAAGATAACTGGAGAATCACCAAGAAAAAGTTAAACTAATAAGTAATTCCAGACAACATAATTTGTAACAGCAGACATATAATAACATAAACCACCAAATGGGAAAAAGTAAAACATAAAACTAAAGTCTCGTGGAGTAGATCATGTCAGCCGATTCAGAATAGATGTCATCTCAAGGCGCCTTTACAGAGATAATACAGTCAGACTGGTTACAGGTTTTTCTTAAGCCGAACCAGCCTATTGCATCCAGTCATTGACTTGCAAGACATGAGAAAATTTCACTTGCATTTCGTTGTTGACTCTTACCTTGCACCAAGCATGCATATAGCCACAGTTGAGAGGAAAAGCTTTCTTTTAAAAGAAAAGAACCTCCAGCAGCACCAGGCTTAGTGTCAGCTGCCATCTGCCGAGGCTGACTGGGGTTCAAGAAGACAGAAGCAGACATACAGTAAGAAGCAGACAAATTTACTGTTAACAAGCTATACAGGCGGCCCTCTCCAAGAAACACACAGGCAGGCAGATGAGCTCCAAGCCGGCTCCCATGTCAGAGGATGCAAGAGAGCACATCCAGATATTCACAGTCAGAGAAACAGGACTACACTGAAAAACAGGCCCAGCTCCAACATCTATAAACAAAGGTGTTGATGGCAGCAGAACAGCTGATATTTCTCTCCAGGATGGAATCACAGCCAAACAGGAACAGACCAGATGAAGCTACTATGATGAGAAAAAGAAGAGAGAAAATAAAGTTTCAAGAGGAACTCAACAATTTCAATTAATTTCAATTCAATTCAAAAATACCTTATTAATCCAAAAGGGAAATTAAATACTTTTCTTTTCTACGGGGAATGTTGGCCTAGTGGTTAGAGCAGTGCGGTTGTGCTCTAAGAAGGTTGCAAGTATCCGGCTCGGTCCCCTCAGCCTCCACTCTGAGTCCCTGAGCAAGACCCTTATCCCCACACTGCTCCCCGGGAGCAACACAATGGCAGCCCACTGCTCCCCAAGGGGATGGGTTAAATGCAGAGAGTTAATTTCTATAGGTTGAGATCAATAAAGTTCAATTAACTTATTATTTATCTTAAAACTGCAGAATTGAAGAACAGAGATAAAATGAAGCAGAATGATGAAAGGTTGTCCCTGTAAGTAAGGTTGCTTTGTTCTTTGCAGTCTGCTACGTCTCGGTCTCCAATTTCAAATGGACTTCACAGTATAGGGCTTGGAATCCTGAAGTTGTGAGTTTGAAATCCACTCCCAATAAACTGGGAAAGGCCCTTAACCTCTGATTGCCCCCCCAGGCACTGCACAGGGGCCACTGCTCCCTAAAGGGGACGAGTTAAATGCAGAGAGTTAATTTCTTAGCAGCTGGCCAGCTCAAGTGGTACATCACCCGTCCTGCAACAGGAAGCCTGGTTTCATATCCCAGCTGGGGGGAATGAGCTAAAAGTGTGCGTCCTTAGGCAAGACCCTTCATGCTAATGTTGTCCCTGTGCCCTCCAGCATTCTAAACATAAGGTAATATAAATACTGCTTCCATATGTCATCCTCCTCCTAAAATAAAAATAAGTCCAGGTTTTGATCTTTTTCTGATTTTTGTCCTTTAATGTTTTTTATTTTTTTAGAGACATCAATAGACCGGCAGATACAGGCTGTAAGATGGTAGCTGCAAGACTTAAAGGAATAGTACACCCAAAACATGATTAGCCTTCATTTTCTACTCACCCCCATGCTGAACAACACTCTGGAGTACTTTTTTGATATCTCAAATGCATCTGGAGATCTGGGAGGCTTCTTGCTGTCTGCTGACATTCAAATAATGGAGGTCTATGGCGCCAGAGACAGAAAGGTCCATAAAAGTCCACAAAAAATGTGTCAATATTCCTCCATACTGCTCGTCCAATGTATTCCAAGTGTCCTGAGTGGCTAGCGTCCATAATTTACTCGAAACGAAGTCATTTAGAATGTTTTTAGAGCATAAACAGTAGTGTATAGGATTTCCTGAAAGCGCGTTCACGAGTCTACGGAAACCGCGGCAGACCAAACCAGATGAAAGTGCGCATTCAGCGTCTACTCTGCCGATAATGCAAGCGTAGAAGAAGAAATGTGCTGTTTACCTGTGCAAAGAAAGAAACAACGAAAGAAAATGGAGGAATATTGACACGTTTTTTGTGGACTTTTATGGACCTTTCTGCCTCGGGCACCATGGACCTCCATTATTTGAATGTCAGCAGACAGCAATAAGCCTCCCAGATCTCCAGATGCATTTGAGATATCAAAAAAGTACTCCAGAGTGTTGTTCAGCATGGGGGTGAGTAGAAAATGAAGGCTAATCATGTTTTGGGTGTACTATTCCTTTAAGGTTTGTATTTGATAAAAAAAAAAAAATAAAAAAAAATAATCATGTTCGATTGATCTTGAAAACTTTTGGGGATCAAGAACCTGTTAGAAAGAAACTTTTAACCAAATACAAGAAATAGGTTCCTAAACATTTCTTACATACTCACTTGGTGAGTGTTACTTACCAGAAACACCAAGTGTTTCTGGTAAGTAAAAAAAAGGAAGGAAATAGGCTATGCTGAAAATGAAGGGTACTCCTATTTTAGTCTTATTGTTAACATTTAGTTTGCGTCAAAACTGTGAGACAGCGATGGGTCGAACAGATTTTCTTGCAGTCTAAGAAGTCAGCAGAGCAGAGAGGACACCTTAGCGGTGAGTCCACAGGATATTCTGTCAAAAACCTTTAAAAAAGAGGAGATGTAAATAGTATCTAAACTACACAGAGAGATTTCTGTGCCAGTTAAATATATATAGTGTTTTTTCCACAGATAGGTTTCAAATCTGTTGTCTTTTTCTGCAAAACTTCAGTATATAAATGTTGATATTATTTTTTTCACCTTTAAATTAAAGAGGGGCAGTCTGTGGGAGTGGTTTTCGAACACACAACCTTAGGATTCCAAGCTCTATGCTCTAACCACTAGGCCACTAGCCTGGGTGCCATTTCGAACTTAGTCCCGCCCACAAAGTTTGAGGTCGGGAAGTTCGGTCTGGCTCTGCTCCATAGTAGCGCGAGTATTATCGCCCACTGTCAGGCGATCCAATCAAATTGTCAGGGCGGGCTTTATACGATGATGGACAGATGATCAACAGTAACGTAATCAACCACGTGACCAATGCGCGCTTGGGTGACAACAATAATGGCTGCCGCTGGAGAGGTGAGGTGTGTAGATTCTGCTATTAGGTCTGTTCTAGAAGATATCGACAGCAAATTAATTTTAAAAGAGGAACAGAGAAACGCGATCAAGGCTCATCTTCTTATTCTAGGCGTGCAACTGCACGCTTTGATTTTTGTGGACAACAACTATGCCTTGCTTAACATACGTCACGCACTCCGTTGCTCTTATTGGTTGTAGGTCTATCCAATTGAGTGCAGA